CTAGTTTCTCCAATAGATTAACCTACAATAAATTCTTTAGAACTGGAATCTATTCAGAATTCTGATCCTACTTCATTCCCCATAGCTCAGCAAGGTTGGTTGGTCCTCCTCTGCGTTTCTACCATAGCTCTGGTCTTCTCAACAGCCGAGTACTGTGCACCTATCTGGGCCTCAAGTTGGCATACCAAACACATCGACACACAGATCTACTCAGTAATGAGGACTATTTCTGTAACTTTAATATCAACTCCAGTGCAGTGACTACCAGTACTTTCAAACATTACTCCTCCCTCTATTCAACGGAATGCAGCAACATACAGAGAAATAATGCATATCGATAGTAATCCAGACCTTCCCATCCAGAGAGACCTTCAAGATGTCCCAACTTGTCACATGATGTCACAAAACCCCTTTTTGGACATGAACTGAGCATGCCCTATACCACAACACTGAAGAATCTTGGAGGAAAGCATGGGCAGAAAACCCTTTCCCAAAGAAACACCTTGTCTCTGACCCAATAATGCAACAACTAGGCTTCAACCTTCCACAGAGTATGTGGACAACCCTTAATAGGATACACACTGGACATGGCTGGTGTGGCCACCTGATGTAAAAGTGGCACCTAAAAACCTTGCCTGACTGTGACTGTGGAAACCGTGACCAAACCATGGAGCACATAATAACATCCTGCCCCAGATACAAGGTTGAGGGTGACATCCTGGAGTCCAGCAGGGCATGCGTCTTGTTGGGTAATTTAGAATTAAACTTGTGACAACAGCTCTTGCTTCTAAAACCATATGAAAGAATCTTAGCAAATCTCAATGCTCCATTTATAATACTGTATGTGAAGAAATAGTGATATCTACCACTTTTCCATAACATTCAGAAGGGTTTTCATTTTTGCAGCACTTTTTCAGGACATCTTCATATCCGTTAGCAATCCTCAGAAGCATCTCAGTAGAGAATTCTTGGTGCCTTCTTGAATATTCATAGAGAAACCTGTAACACATGAAACAATTTGAGTTCATGAATAAAGTAAACCTGGTTTCTGTAATGATGAATATGACCAGAAGAACTGACAATACAGGACCACTTTTTCAGCACCAGGCTTGAAATGTGCTTTGTTGTTTTAGTAGGACATTAGCATTATATAGTCCCTATATGTCAGCTGCTAGAGGGGCAAGAGCCAGGGATGTCATAGATTTGTTTCACCTCTGAAAACATAAGAAGTGATAACAGAACTGGGGGAACAAAGTGAAGAAAAGAGGAGCTAGGTTATTTCATCAACATTCCTTTTCATTAAAGGTAAAAGCCCTGCTAGACACAGATGCTCCTGGAGATAAATGCATGGCTGCCCAGATGGCATTCCCAGCAGGACTTTGGATTCTCTGACCCAAGGATGGTATTCAAAGAAGATGGACTTCTGGGAAGAGACGGAATCCACTTGATGATGAGGAAAAAGGATATATTTATGCACAAGTTAGCTAACCTAGTGAGGAAGGCTTTAAATTAGGTTCAATGTGGGACAGAGATAAAAGCCCAGAGGTAAGGAAAAGGCTACCTGACTTAGATAAAAGCCAAATAAAAGGAGTCAATAAAGAGATCTTTAACAAGGTATTCAAGAGAAATGAAGACAATTGGCCAGTTAGCTAAGATGTTTATATACTGATAATGGGAGCAGCATGGGGAATAAGCAGGAATAATGGAAGTTCTAGTATAATCATGGAAGTATGAAATAACTGAGATAACTGGAATTGGTTGGGGAAGTTTGCATGCCTGGAGTACTGTCATAGAGAAATATAACTCTTTCAGGAAAGACAGATGTGGACAAAAGGACATAGTGCTGTTCTCTATATAAAAGAAACATACACTTGTTCTGATATCTGGTAAGAAACAGGAAGAAGGCCTGTTGAAGACCTGTGGATCAAGTTAAGAGGGAATGATATCATGGTAGGTGTCTGCTATAGACAAACCAGGTGAAAGAACTGAATGAGTGTTTTTCCTAGTAACTAACAGAAGCATTTAAATCACAGGACCTGGTGATCAATGGGGACTTCAATCACTGTGACATCAGCTTGAAGAAAAACACAACAAAGAACAGACAGTCCACCAAGATCTTGGACTGTGTCAGGGACAACTTTCATATAGATGGTAGATAGGCCAACTAGGCAACAAGCTCATCTTAATTGACTGCTCACAAATAAGGAGAAACTGGTTGAGAATGTGAACATGAAAGGCAATTTAGGGGACAATGACCATAAAATAGAGGACAGGACCCTAAGGAAAGGAAGGAAGGACAGCAGCAGAATAGAGCCATTGGGTATGTACAGAAGTTGCTTTTTCACCATTTAAAATGGTGGAAGGCCTGCTCTGAGGGCTTCCCCTCTGGCATTTCTGAGGTTTCCACCCAGACGTAATCCATGGTTCCGGGCTCCATGCAGACAGAGCCTCTGGAACTCGGCTGCAGGGGCTGCTTGGCACATTTCCAGGCACATGGGACAGGGAGAATAGCCACCTCCCCTTGCAAGGTCTGCTCCACTTTGGAGTCTCTGGGGTGGCAGATAGAGGAGCTCCAGGCTGCAGTCCAGAGACTGCATGCCATCAGGGATGGTAAGCAGGAGACAGACTCCTACTGCCAGGCCCTTCACCCCCTGGAGGCTGAGGGTAGACCAAGGTCACCTTCCAGGATAAGGGAGGACTCCAGGATCTCCCATACTGTCCTGGCAGGGGTTGGACCAAGGTAGTCAATGGCCCCAAGGCCCAATGCACCAGGGTCCCCTCCCCTCTGGAGGTTTCCAACAGGTACAGTAGAACCTGCAGAGCTGCCAGCTCCTGCAGGCAATGGAAGCTCATTCACAGCTAACATCCCTGCTGTCCCTAAGGCCACATGTAGAGTGGTCATTGTGGGAGACTCCCTCCTGAAGGGGATTGAGGGCACGATCTGCTGCCCCAACCCCTTAGCCCAGGAGGTCTGCTGCCTCCCGGGAGCCCATATCCAGGATGTAGCTGAGAGGATCCCAAAGCTCATCTGGCCCATCAGCCACTACCCTATGCTCCTTATCCATATGGGCATGAATGACATGGCTCAGAGCAATCCCAGCCAGGTCATGAGAGGCTACAGGGCTTTGGGAGCAGGGATTAGGGGGTTTGGGGAACAAGTGGTGTTTTCTTTGATCCTCCCAGTTTCAGGTTAACAGTTGAGGAGGGAGAGGAGAATCGAGGTAGTTAACCAAAGACTGCAGCACTGGTGTCATTGTGAAGGCTTTGGCTTCCATGATCACAGTCCGCTCTTTGGTGAGAGAGGCAGTGGTCTGCTGGGAAGAGATGGCCTCCACCTCACGTCACTGGGGAGGAGGCTCTTCTCAGCCAGACTGGCTGACCTGCTCGACCGGGCTTTCAACTAAGCCTGCCAGGGGATGGGGGGATTACCACCGCAGCAAGCCCACTGGGCAACTTTTGCAAATCCAGTAGGCTAAAGCACTCAAGGGAACCCACCCCTACCCCAGCGCCAAAATGATGTGTAGGGAGGATTAGGGCCTCCAACAGGACACTTACGTGCCTGTACACCAATGCCAGGAGCTTGGGGAATAAACAGGAGGAACTGGTCCTCCTGTTAAACAAGAATGACTACAATCTCATAGGGATAACGGAGATCTGGTGGGACTCCACCTATAACTGGGCCACAGGTATAGATGGCTATACCTTGTACAGGAGAGATTGTGTAGAAAAAAGGGGCAGGGGTGTAGCTCTCTATGTCAAGGAAAGCCACACACCCCTGCAAGCTGACATTGGCATCCAGGGTGGATGACTGGAGACTCTCTGGGTTAAAATCCATAGTGAACATGGCACAGGGGACACAATGGTAGGAGTCTACTACAGACCTCCTAATCAGGATTGAGAGCTTGACCAGGAATTCTCCAAGGAATTGGCTGAGGCTGCACACTCCTGGTGCATGGTTATCATGGGAGACTTCAACTACCCAGACATCTCATTGGAAGAGCACTCAGCCAAACCCGAATGGTCACAAAGCTTCTCTATCTGATTCAAGAAGTCTATGGATCAAAAAGAAGCTAAGCACTGCTCAACCTGGTACTGGCAATGGCGGATGATCTAGTCAGTGACCTAATTATTGAAGGGAAGCTGAGAGACAGTGACCATGAGCTGATCACTTTCACTATCCACCATAAAGCTGGCAAGTCAGTCAGCAACGCTGAAGTCCTTGACTTCAGGAAAGCTGGCTTTGACAAACTCCGGAGGCTTGTTGGCAAGGCCCTAAGGGATCGTGACCTGAAGGAAAAGGGAGTTCAGGATGAGTGGTTGCTCCTCAAGAGAGTGATCCTGGATTCACAAGCAGTGTCTATCCCATCTCAAAGGAAAGGCAGCAAAAGGGCACAGCAGTCTCCTCTGCTCTGCAGGGAACTTGTGGACCTCCTGTGTCAAAAAAGGAAGACCAATTAAGGATGGAAGACTGGAACCATCTCAAAGGAGGAGTATTCTGCACTGGTCCAGACCCATAGGGAGCAAACGAAGAAAACTAAGGCTGCGACTGAACTCCAACTGGCTACACGTATCAAAGACAATAAAAAGTCCTTTTTTAGATAGGTGGGGAGCCGGAGGAGAAGCAATGGTAACATTGGACCCCTGCTAAACCAAATGGGACAATTGACAACCACCACCCAGGAAAAAGCCAACCTGCTTAATGGGTATTTTGCATAATTTTTTCACCAGCCTCAGGGGACAGCCCTGCTCAATATGGTCTGGGGTGGCCAGGGTGAAGGAGAATTGTTACTCTACATCAATGTTGACCATGTGAAGGAACTTCTTGAGAGGCTGGACACCTCCAAGTCAGCTAGCCCTGACAGTTTACACCCCAGGGTACTTAAGGAACTAGCAGGCATCATAGCTCAGCACTGGCATGGATCTTTGAGAACTCCTGATGCTCTGGTGAAGTGCCCAAAGATTGGGAGAAGGCCAATGTGGTGCCTATCTTCAAGAAAGGGAGGAAAGTAGATCCGGGGAACGACAAGCCCATCGGCCTGACCTCTATCCCAGGGAAGATCTTGGAAAAAATTATCAAAGAGACTATTCTTTACAAGCTGGCTGATGGCAACATCCTGAGGGATAGCCAGCATGGGTTTGTTGCCTGACCAAGCTCATCTCCTTCTATGACCAGGTGACATATCACCTGGACAAGGGAGAAGAGATTGATGTCATATATCTTGATTTAAAAAAAAATCCTTCTATCCGGTGTCCCATGATCTCATTATGGAAAAATTGGCCAACTGCAGCCTTGGCTACACCACAGGCGGATGGCTGAGGAATTGGATCCAAAGTCGGACCCAGAGAGTGGTAATAGGCGGAAGTAAATCATGGTGCACCATGACCAGTGAGGTCCCCCAAGGCTCTGGACTCTTTAACATCTTTATTAATGATGTAGACATTGGTATCAGAAGTGGACTGGCCAAGTTCGCCAATGACACCAAACTTTGGGGTAGAGCATCCAGACCTGAGGATAGGATGGTGATCCAAGACGACCTAGACAGGCTCAGAAAATGGGCAGACAAAAAGTTCAACATCGAAAAATGCAAGGTACTCCACCTTGGGGGAAAAAACCCTACAGCATGCTTATCAGCTTGGCAGTGCTGTGCTTGCTAGCTCCACAGTCAAAAGGGACTTGGCAGGTCATGATTGACCACAAGATGAATATGAGCCACCAATGTGATATCGCAGCTGGTAAAGTGAGCAAAACTCTGGCTTGCATCCATAGATGCTTCTCAAGCAAATCCCAGGATGTCATCCTCCTGCTGTACTCAGCCTTGGTGAGGCCGCAGCTGGAGTACTGCATCCAATTCTGGGCTCCACAATTTAAAAAGGATGTGGAGAAGCTTGAGAGAGTCCAGAGGAGAGCCACGTGCATGATCAGAGGACAGGAGACAAGGCCTTATGATGAGAGGCTCAGAGCCATGGGACTCTTCAGCTTGGAAAAGTGCAGGGTCAGGGGGTCCTGGTGGCTGCCTATAAGTATATAGGGGGTGTACATCAGGACCTCAGGGAGCACCTATTCACCAGAGCACCCCAAAGGACGACAAGGTCAAACGGTCACAAACTCCTCCAAGACCATTTCAGTCTGGACATAAGGAAGAACTTCTTTATTGTTTGAGCCCCAAAGGCCTGGAACAGACTGCCACCAGAGGTGGTGTAAGCACCTACTCTGGACTCCTTTAAAAGACATTTGGACATTTATCCTGCTGGGATCCTTTGACCCCAGATTACTTCCTTCCCCTGGGGCAGGGGGCTGGACTCAATGACCTCCTGAGGTCTCTTCCAGCCCTAGTGTCTATGACATCTATGAAAGTGTTTGATTGCCATGACTTAACAGAAATGCACAGTTTTACACCACTTTAAAATGGGTACAGCACTTTAAATTAACCCTTGTTAAATGAGGTATTCAATTTTAAGTGCTATATTTTACAACACTTCAGCAACCTACAGTGTGTTGAATAGCTTCTGTACACTAGTCAAATTTCTGACCAGTAAAGAAGCCCCAAGAGGCTTCAGAGCATCCCTTTCCTCCTAACCTGGAAAGTGCTGGGAGGTTCAGAGCCCCTGCCCCGACTCCTCCCAACCAAACACTGCACTTCTGTCATGTTTAAGAACACTGTAACTTTATAGTGCTATAAAAAACTGCTCTGTATCATAATGCTGTAAAACTTGCATGGAGCACTTCTGTACACACCTATGAAAGTAACCTTTAACAAACTCAGGTGACTGGTGGACAGGATCTCCTGGGAAGCAAGTATGAGGGGAAGAGGAGTCCAAAAGAACTGGTTGTACTTTAAGGAGGCCATATTAAGGACACCATAGCAGGCTATCTCAGTGCAAAGAATGGATAGGAAATGCAGCAAGATACTGGCCTTGCTAAATGGTGACCTCTCCAATGAACTGAAACTCGAAGAAGAATTGTACAAAAGGTGGAAACTTGACCATGTTACAAGGAAGAGATATAAAAGCATAACACAAGCAAACAGGAACAAAATCAGGAAGGGCAGGGCACAAATGGAGATGTAACTAGCAAGGGACACAAAATGCAGCCAAAATTATTTTACAAGGATGTCAGGAGTAGAAAAAAGGCCAAGGGAAGTTTAAGTCTCTTACTAAACATAGAGTATGTATATATGATGTGAAGAAGGCGGAAGTATTTAATACATCATTTACTTTGGTCTTCACAACTAAAATTGGTTACCAGTACTAAGTAGTAGTACTCTCAGTACTGACCCGCCCACCTATTTAGGGCAGTCTGCTCAGTCTTCCCTGCCATGCCTTGCTGTTAAGATACTAGCTACAATAATGCTGGAAGCTGCCTTTTTAATGCCTCAATGTCTAGGGGCTTAAGAATGACTCTAACCTTCCCTTATCATGTCGCATCCCTTGCAGATGTTACACTGTTGCTATCAACTCTATGTGCCCTCTTGGCACAGAGCCCTCCAGCTCCTGTGTCTCTACACCACTCAGGCACTGAATTCACAGCTGCCTGACTTTCTATGCTTCTCTCCCTGGTGCCTGACTCCGCGTCTTTCTCTTTCTGACTCTCTGTGCCTATCCCTGGCACCCAGCTCCATGTCTCTCTCTCTGCACCTCTCTCTCTGGTGCCCGGTTCTGTGCCTTCCCCTCTGGCATCTAGATCTGCGCCTCCTCTGACACCCAGCTCCATGCCTCCCTTTCTCTGGTTCCTAGTTCTATGCACCCATCACTGGGCTTTGCCCAGGTCCTGTGCCCTTTTCTCCAAGCACTAATGAGACCTCCAAAGCTCCCCTTACAGCCTCATCCCGGTCCTCCAGTACAAACCATAACACAAATACAACCCCCTGGGCCACAACATAACAACACTAATGGAGACTGGCTTCTGTCTCTTTAAGAGGGTAAAACTTCTCCCCTTAGGACCATGTCTCTTAGCCTTAAGTATCTTAGGCTCCTGAAACCTCACTGTACTTATAGGCAGCAAAGTAGGCAGCACCTAGTCTCAGGTAGCTCAGGGCTCCTTTCCTTGGCAGTTGCTAGAGCAAGAGAGAGCCCCTACTAGCTCCAGCCCTGGGTTTATATATCCACAGTGCCCTGTCCCCTCCCAGTCACCTGACTGGCTTCAGGTGCTGGCTAATTACCCTTTTAGGCTGTTGCTCAGGTAACCTGCAGCTGTGGGGTTCTGCCTAGCCCTCTGAGCAGACTGGCCAGGCTGCTTCTGCCCTTTAAGGCAGCAGGCACATCTTGATGCCCTGCTACAGAACAGATTAGGGATTACTTAGAAAAGATAGATGTTTTCAAGTCAACAGAGCCAGATGATATGCATCCCAGTGTATTCAAGGACTTGGCTAAGGCAATTTCAGAGCCTTTGGCTATTATCTTTAAGAATTCATGGAAGTCAAGGAAGGTCCCAGACAATTTGAAAAGGGCAAATATAGTGTTCATCTTTAAGAAACTCGAGAAGGGGAATCTGTGAAATTACAGAACGATTAATCTGACCTTGATACCTGGAAAGATGTAATAGTTTTCATAGATTTCATAGATTTTTAGGGTCAGAAGGGACTTCAGTAGACCATCTAATCCAATCCCCTGCCCTGGGCAAGAAACAGCACTTGGGGTCAGATGACCCCAGCCAGGTGCTTGTCCAGTCTCCTCTTAAAGACATCCAGGGTAAAGGAGAGCACCACCTCCCTTGGAAGATCATAGAAAAGGTCATCAAGCAAGAGGGATTTGATAACAGTCCTCAAGTACCTGAAGGGCAATTACAGAGAGGATGGAAATTGGCTCTTTTCCATGACTGTAGGTGACGTAACTAAGAGCAATGGCCTCAAGCTTCAGCAGGGTAAATTTAGATTGGAGGTTAGGAGGAACTTTCTGACTCTGTGGGTGGTCAAGCATTGGAACAGGCTACCTAGAGTAATTGTGAAATCTCCATCCTTGGAAGTTTTCAGGAGCAGGTTAGACATACACTTACCTGGGATGCTTTAACCAAAGATAATCCTGCCTTGGGCAGGGGCCTAGGCTAGATGACTTAGTGAGGCCCCTTCCAGCCCTACTTTCTTTTGAGCCTAAGAAATTTATTTTTAAAGAGAGGGAAACAAGATGATCAAGAATAGCTAGTATGGATCCATTAAGAACAACCCATACCTGATCAACCAGATTTCCTTCTATGATAAAGTACTAGGCTCTGTGAATGGGGGGGAAAGTAGTGGATGCAATATGCCTGGATTTTAGCTAGGTTTCAATGCTGTCTCCAATGAAGAGTCACTTAATATGATAATTAGACCATAGGAAACTGGATGAAACAACATAGGGGACATGCTGGCCTTTTAACAGATAGGACTAAAAAAACCCCTCTAGGATATACTCTAAAGGCCAGATTTTCCACTGCTGTAAAATGACATAACTCTAAAGAGCATACCAGATTTACACTAGAAGAAGATTAGGCCCTTAATTTTGGCAGATTATATTATTCTACTTATTGTGTGCCAGTCTGACTGTTTGTGTACATGCACCAACTAACACGAAATACAAGAACATGCAACATTTGCATTACGTACTCTGCCAGAAATTTATCGTGACCTGCCGCAAAGTGGTTGCACACATCTGGATCTTGTACGTACTTCCCAGCTATCAGGGGCAAGTCTTCAGGTTTGTCATCATGGCCTGCCTCAACAACACATTGGCCCTTGTCTATCGCCGCTGTCTCACAACACTTTTTGATTTTGCTGGAAAAGACATTTTGTTTGGAACACACATATTCTACAACCTGTGCCTGCAAAAGATACAATACAGTATTGTTTAAAAGGATTTCTTTGGGCTATTATTTTCCAAACTCTTCCAGTGCTCAAGTCAATGCTTGACTTATCAATTTTCTAAGGAAATGCCTGATTTACTAGAGAGGATTATCATGAGGATGCAATCAGCAGAGAGCAGTCTAGAGCAGACAGAGCAAATAAAGCATTAAACGTGCTTCCAGCAGTGGGTCCTGCAGCCTCCCAGAGCTGTGGGTCCTGCGACTCCCAGCCTCCTCCTCTGTACTGCATGGCCCATCGTTGAAGAGGCTATCCCCATCCTTTAGTGTTAGACAGAAGTCCCTAAGACCCAGTCCCTGCCAGTGCCTACCCCCGCTCTCCAACACAGGATGTGCCAGGTACTACTACAGGCAAAAACCCCACAGCAACAGAAAGTCAACTCTGGATATTGCCAGTCTTTGAGATGGAAAAACATCCACATAGACAGGCATCTTGAAGCACTGGGTTTCTCTCGCTGTTTTTATTACTCATATACATTTTCCCATTCATTTACCTAATCTTTATGGTGAGTTTTGAGCTTCAGAAACTAAGGCAGACAGATTATATCCCAAATTATAATTAATCTGCAATGATATCTAAGGGCTATAGATCAAGCTGGTGTAACCTGGTTCCATAGCATTTAATAGGTATATGTTTGAATATTTAAGGCTTTACATGCCAATCTGTTCTTTCAAGAAATGTGCAGGTCTAGAACTTTGAGCGAGTAGGCAGTAGAAAATATGGTTCTTCCTAGGTCTCTTAAAAATATGTAAATTCTTAAAAGTACATATGAAACCTACTTTGTTATCCATGCACTGCATCATGTTACCATCACAGCACTCTTCGTAGACACCCTTGAGTTTGTTTGCAACTCTGTAAACCTCTTCAAATGGAGCCTTAGGAAACCTTTGACTAAGAAGAACTAGTTTCCTAGAATGAAGGAAAAAGATGGGAAAACATGTTTGTCAAGCTCATTGATGAACAGGATACTTGAAATTCATTTAACATTTTGGACCAGCCTAAATAGTCACATTTTGGATAATTTTGAGAGGTTGCCAGTCTTCCCCAGAAATGCTGTAGATAAATCTTAACTTACTGGGCTTCTTGAAGTATTAACTGGATAAAATCAAGATCTTGTGTTAAGGTAGGAGCTTACACTAGATCACCATAATGATAGCATAGCACAGGGGTAGGCAAAATACAGCCTACATCTGCCCTGTGGAGGGATTGTGCCTGGCCTACAGATAGATTCCATTTCCTGGCAGCCCCAGCAGTGGCAGCTCCTTTCAGTTGCCACTGCCGGACCCAACCCTGCTGCCTGGAAATCCTGGCTCACCCACCTTGCACCCATTGCTGGGGACGGGACCCATGTCAGCAGAGCACATGGCTGGGCAGTTGAGATGGGGCTGCAGGTGGGCAGGGAGCAGTGTCCAGGAGCGAGACGGGTAATGGGGCCTGGAATCTTGGACAGTGCGGGGCCGGGGCCGGGATTGGGGCCAGGGCCAGGGCCAGGGCCGGGGAAGAGCCAGGATCCACTGCCCTGGATCCCTGCCCCTGGCCCTGTGCTGTACTGTAAACACCCCATGATTCCAGCCCCAGCCCTAGAAGCAGCTCCCCACCCACCCGTATGCCCTGCTTGTATGGCTCCTAGCCAGGCTCCATGGAGATCCTGGGATTGTGGGGCTGTGACAGTGCACGACAGGTGCAAAGTCCTGGTTCTGTGAGCAGGGACATGCAGGGAACACATCACAGCTCTGCCCTGGCCCTGTGCAGTCACCCCCACACCCTGCAATCCCGGGGTCTCTATGGAGACTGGCTGGGAGCCACGCAGGCAGGGTGTGCAGCCAGATGGGGAATTGCATCCAGGGCTGGGGCCAGATCTGAGATCTTGGGGCAATGATAGCATGGGGCCAGGGCAGAGCTGTGATTCATTCCCTGCACACCCCTGCCCATGGAATCCACACCTATTGCATGGGTGTGAGGGCAGCAGATCTTGGCTGGCCTGGCCATAGCCCCAGCCCCACGCTGTTACCACCCCAAGATTCTGGGGTCTCCCCTGCCTTGCCTGATCCCACCACCCTTGTTGTGGTGCAGCTGCTTCCTGCCTTGTAGCTTTGGATCTCTGTCCAGACCCTGATTCAGTTCTGCTGCCACCTACTCAGTTCTGTAGCCTGACTCAGTTGTGCTGCCACCACCACTAGCCTTGCTCCTCTCCTCCATGTCTCTCTTCTATCTCCATCTCTAATTATCTCTCCAATTATCTACCTCAGCAGGTCCAGTCCTGTGGGGAGACCTGTAATTAGGTTAGACTTCCTGCAGCTGGCTGTTGTCCCTACAAGCCTGCAGACTCCTTTAGCCTGGAGTGTGCAGCCTGCTGCAAGCCTTTGCCAGCCAGCCTGCTACAGGTGGCTTTAGACTCTAAAAAATATAATAGACAAGGAGTACAACTGGCATCCTCTTATCCCAGGACTGTAGCTTCTCAAATATTCTAGATCAGAATCTAGGCTTGCTTATTGTAGTTTCCCAATGTGTTCATCACCCCCACTTCCAGATACCAGAAGTAGAACAAAATTGACAAAATTTGGGTCAAACACAACGGAGTAACTGATTCTGAGCTAAATGACGCAATTTTATGTAATATCACAACTGACGAAATACCTTTGGGTTCCTAGATTCTACAGATAGCATATATGGCTTTATACATCTCTGATTTAGTTAATGTACAAAGTGCAAATCCACCCTGCCTTGTTCCTAGTGCTTGACTTTTCACCAGTGATTGCCATCAACAAAGATTATGCATATTTTCCTTGGTATAAAGCAGTACAACACAACTAAGCCATAGTTCATTACATACTAAAATCAATCTGGGTGGGTTTTTTAAGAGTATTTCAGGAACTTGCTTATATTGGGCACAGGTTTGCCTAGCTTTATCTTTATGCAAAGTTTAAGAATGGTTTCTGGCACAGTGGGTGCATATACATGAGATGTTACATTGCCATAGCGATGACCTACAGTGACATAACTCCTTAGCATCAGTGGGCACAAACCATGTAGTGTCTAAAAATGTGGGCACAAACCACGGCGATATAGTGTCTAAAAATGACCATGCACTGCTGGGACTGCTCAGGTACTGAGCAGTCATTTTGTACATACTAAAGCAAGTGCTAAATGACTGTGCAGTGCCAAATGCACAGTCAGGGGCACATGTAGATGCACACTGTGACTCCTTGATCAAAAATATAAGTGGGTTACATTGACTTGTTTCTGAGGTATTGAAAGATGTACAAATTGTATTGATATCAAAGGATACTGATTATAAACTGTTATGATACAACAGCTATGTCTGAGCGATTCTGTACAGATGTAGCAAAACCACTCCCACATTAGCTCTTTTTCATTCAAGGTCAAAGTTAGGGCAATCTAGCTAATTTGTGTTACAGCAGGATCATTTGGTGGTTAGCCGTGTTAGTCTGAAATCAGGCAGAAGAGAGGGCAGGGTGGCACCACCAAGACTGATTTAGAGAGGCATGAGCTTTCATAGGCCACAACCTATTTTGTCAGATGCTGGCAAGGACTGGCAGAAAAAAAAAAAGATTTTATATAGAAGGAAAAGGGACAGGTGGAAGGAACACTGTTAAGAGACAAAATGAGTGGACTGGTTAGGTCAGTTGAGACGAACAAGGAAGTCAACACCTGGAGAATCAGCCAAGTCTTTCCTGCCCAAGTGCAGGGGGGGCTGGACCCAATAATCTGTAAGGTCCCTCCCAGCCCCTAACAACTATGAAACCAGGGTGAGGTAGGCCCTGCTGGACCACCCTGGACTTCAGATTACTCCTTGGACTGACTGTCTGAGAGCCACAATGGCCTGAAGCAAGCCCCTGCCAGGCAGGAACTGCCTCCATAATTGCTTCCCAGCCTTAGGTGCCTAGCCCAGAATGGGGGAAGGCCTGGCCTGAAAACAGGCACAACATGGCCAGCTGAACTGAACTTCTTTGCGGGCCATCCTGGGCTTGTTTGCAGGCCATCCTGGAGGGGGCACCCAGGGCAAGGGCCAAGTTGATGTCCAGTGAAGGGTGATGTACCCTTTGGTTCTGACCTTCAGTGGGTCCATAGGCAGAGGAGGGCAGATTTCATGTTTTACCCTGCCTTATGCTTATAAATTCTGTAATATGTTGGTGGAGAGACAGGGAGGTGGAATGGGCTACACAGCACTCCCCTCTATGAAAGACAGGGGAGAAGGAGGCAAGGAAGGAAGAAAAGGCACAGCCTTTCCTAGGGAGAGGGAAGGCCTCACCAGATTTGGGGGATGGGGAGGAGACTCCTCTGGGTGAGTGACAAAAAGGGTGGCGGGGGTGGATCAGAGATCAGTGTTAACGTATCAAGCCTGTGGATGACTTCTTGTTCTGCAATTCTGTGTTTGAGTTGGGGCGGGGTATGTTTTTATTTTTGTTTTTTTTAGGGTAGCTACTCTCAGGTCAGTGTTGAAATGTCCAGGATCATCCAGATGCAACAGCTACATGTAACAGCTGATGCAAGCTCCCAAATGACAGACCCCCCTCTACCCTTTAAAGCAGTCAAAGAGTATGTTTGTCTATACCCTAAAATTCCTCTGATGTATCTTCAGGTTTCAGGGCAAACAGTCCATTTCATTGTAAAATAGTGATAAGGACACTTACTGTGCTTGGAAAGTTCTCTCTCCAAACGTCTTCCGGATTCCGCAGGAGTATTCATGCCATAGACTCATTTCTGTGGCCTTTTCCTTAAGGGCAGCGATCTAGAGTAATAAAACACAGATTGTCAAATGAAATGGTTGCACTTAATGGATTAGAAAAGAAACCCCTGTTTAGAAAAACAGAGGGCTCTTTTCATGTAAAGCTATGAAGAGAACAAACCAAGAGTTCCTGACATGAGCCCTAGCCACTCACAATCCAAAAGTTAACTTTCAGTGCATATATTGTGTCCCAAACTGGCTACCTTACCTGTTGTGGTGTCATATCTTGCTGTGTCAATAACTCAGCTGATTTCACTGAAGTACACAGCTTGTAGTCATGCACCAAAACTCATATTATACTGTGGGAGGGAAAGCTGGGAGACAAATATTAACTCCTAACTTACAAGCAGTTACAGCATAAAATGAAGAATCACAATTTATTTTAAAATCACTAGATTAGACATTGTCCTTTAGAGCAGCAGTTCTCAATCTGTGGTACAGATACCACCAGTGGTACTCAGACAACCTGTCTATGGTACGTGTTAACAGATTTATTATAAATACTTTATAAGACAAAAATTTGCTCATGGCGCTTAAGGTTGAACTGAAAATGTTGGTGGTGGTACTTAAGATTGTATCATTTTAAATTGGTGGTGTACAGTCTGTCAGAGTTTGGGAACTGCTGCTTTAGAGGTTAAAATTGCTAAGATCAGCATGTAATGTTAAGGGGGTGGTAAAAAATGGATTGACATTCACATAGAAAACCTGAATACAGGCAGTCCTTGACTTTACAACATTCAAGTTACGGTGAACGGCACTTATGACGTTTATAAATTGACATCCTGTTTCAACTTTCCGATACCAATCTGCTGTACCGTCCATCTCCCTGACTCAGGACTCTTAGTTGCTGTTCCAATGCCATTTTTGCGACAAATCTTTGTGTTTCCAAATTTTTTCTTAAAATTTAGTGTTTTTTTCCTCATACTAATGACAGAAAAGCATAAATCTGGTGCAAGTGACGTTTCTAAGAAATGTAGAGCAATTACTATGGAGACATTGGCTGAAAACATTGAAGAGGGTGGGTATTGTGCTTGGTGAGTTTTTAATGTTGACAAAACTGGGTTCTTTTAGGGAAAAAATGACGTTGAGAACCTACATTGCCAAAGAGGAGAAATCCATGCCAGGGTACAAAGCTGCTAAAGATAGGCTCATTCTTTTGATTGATGCCAATGCTGCAGGTGACTTTAAACTTAAACCTTTACTTGTGTACTGTTTGGAAAACCCCAGAGCTTTCAAAGGATATTCTAAGGCATTTCTCCCAGTGATATGGAAATCCAATCCTAAGGCATGGATCAATAAGAATATTTTTGAGGATTGGTTTAATCATCATTTTGTGCCAAGTGTCAGGGATTATTACAGCAAAAACAATCTTGCATTTAAAGCATTGTTAATCCTCAACAATGTTTCTGGTCATCCAACCATCCTTGATGACATATATCTTGACATCAAAGTGGTGTTTCTGCCCCCCAGCACCACCTTATTGTTGCAACTCATAGACCAGAGGCTATTTTCATCCTTCAGGGCCTACTATCTTAGGTGCACATTTGCCCAGGCCATGAGGGCAATTGAGAAGGAAGGTGGACCAACTCTGAGGAATTCTGGAGGGGCTTCAACATTTACCATGCAGTTAAGAACATTGGTGAGACATGGAATGAAGTCAAACAATCAAATTTGAATGGTGTTTGGAAAAAAATTATGTCCTGAGTTTGTGTCTGACTTCCAAGGCTTTACAAACACTGTTGAAGAGGTGACCAACAATGTTGTTGAAATGGGCAAGGAATTCAACTAATACGTTGCACCAGATGCTATTGATGAGTTGCTGGCATCACATTCTGAAGAATTAACTGATGAGGACCTCATTGAATTGGAACAGCAAAAAGTGGCAGAGGAAGAAGATGCATGCACTGTTGAAGAGACTTCTCCTCATAAAGTCTTGACAACAAACATGTTGGCTGAGGCATTTCAATATTTGGAAGCGGCTATGTCCCTGTTTGAACATGTCCCAACATTGAACGCAGTGCATCAGTGAATAGGGGCATATCCAACATGTACAACTGCTACAGAGAAATTTACAAGCAAAAGAGGAGAACATCTGTCCAGACTTACTTAGCCACTTTCTTTAAGAAAGCAGACAAGACACTAGAAAAACCTGCAGCCAAGCATAGCAGGGCACTGTTGGTGCCTGCCACTTTAAGGACTCGAGCAGGCAGCAGCCAGGTGCTTGATTGCAGCAGCAATTTTAGAGAGCAGGCTATAAATAGGAAAGCAGCGGTTTCCTGCTAGCAGCCACGAGAGAGGCATTAGCCAGCAGAGCTGAGGCTCAGGAACAGCTTGGAGATTTATGGGCTGGGGCTATGGGGATGGAGAAGGCTCCTGGTTCTGGGCATGACCTAAAACTGCACCCTGCTGGGGATGGGTGGCCTGGTGGGACTGTCGGTGGTGTAACAGCCCCATAAAATGCCAGGCCAGTTACCTCCCTGGTGAAAGGCAGGTTGGGGGTGCCTAATAACCTCCAGTCCCCCCACAGTCCTAGCTGGGTAATGCCCAGACCTATGAGAGTGTAGAAAGGCCTGTGGCTCAGTTCCCAGCAGTGTTGTGAGGGTAAACACAGGCAAGCAGCTTAGACCTGACCCAGGGTACCTGACTGGTCCATGCTGGGGCCAGGACCCACCAATGGGTCAAAAGGGTCAGGGGCCCACCGCGAGGGGTGCCCACAGAGCAAAGAGGCTCAGGATCCCTACAGGCCTGAGATGGGGCCAGGGCCTAAGGGGGAGCCAAAGGTCCCAGAGAGGGGACCACAGCAAATGGGTGAAGGGTATGGCTGAGTTTAGTTGATTGAGATGCCATCTGCAAGGCTTAGGCAGCAGCGTAGGGGTGGAATGGAGCTGCAGATATTCCCCTGAACATTGGGGTTCAAAATGGGCAGCTTCCCACCTAATTAACATAGTAATTATATATCATCAAGGTGTGGTAGGTGGGAGAGGTGGGCAGTTAGCCCAGGGACAGGTGGGCGGGCCAACATCAGACCGCCCTGGGAAGCCCCCCATTACACCAAGGCTCCTGAGAAGACTCCAGCCAAGAACTCTTCAAAAAGTTCAACCAAGAGCCCTTCAAAAAGTCCATCAGTCACCTCAAAGAAGTCCTTCCAAATCAATATGATTGCTATTTACAATGTAAATATATTAATGTTACTATATTACTCATCTATAATTGATTGAGTACAAAATTCTGGGTTATTTTTGGTAAAAATAGGGTATTGGGCCTTGGTTCAGGACCAAGATGCAGTTTTCAGGAACCAGCTGTTTTAAGTCTGAGGACCTCCTGTACCTTTCCTTCCAAGCAGACATCAATGTCAGCTACTGCACAACAGGTTTGAACTGCAAGCTCGTAGTCATCACCCAGGGCGAGAATTGTAGGGGCAAAAAGAAAAGGCAACCTTCTTGCAA